ATCCATGAAGGATGCGGACCCGGACGAGAAGCGGATTTACAAGAGACGTAAAGTGGCCCAGAACAGAGCCGCATCCGAGGAGAGCAAGCAGGACTCAGACTGAGTTGCGAGGATGCCTGCATCTGGAGTATGAAAACCCTAAGTAGCCCGATTTCATCAGTGTTGTTGAGGAGGCTACATGCAGCATGTTTGTCAGAAACCTAGAAGATCACGTACCATGGGTTCCTGCTTGCTTGCTGTATAAGGATTTGCTTCCAAAGCTTGCAGTGGAACTTATACATGCAGTCCTCTTTGCAGGGCTTCCCATGTTTCCGGAAACAGCTTCTTGCAGTCCTGCACGGCAGGGCTTCATGATGCATGGCAGTGTTGTGTCAAGAATGTCTGTCAGCTTCTGTGTTGCATGCAGCCTAAGAAGGGTCGGTCAGTCATCGTCTATGCACCCGTGCCGCCTCAAGATGCAGGTGGTGCCGCAGTTGAAGAAGGGTTTCATGCATGTATGGGTTCTGCTTCTTTCAAGGAACTTGATAGTTTCAGAAGGGTTTCACAATCATGTGTTCTGAGCAGTTAATGAAGATGATGTTGAGGTTCGGCAGCCTGCAGAGTTACAGTGTGAGATTGTCTTCTGGGGCATTTGGAAGTCCCATCTCTAGATAGTGCTCACTTCCTGTACCGTCAGCAGAGATGTCTGTGTGGCATTGTTTAGACTAGCATAGCACCTGCTCCTTTATTGTACCATACTTCAAGCACATGCTAGTCAAGGTCCTTGTGACATAGATTCGAGGCTGTCAGTTTGCCCACTTCTGCAATCCCTCCACACTCCATATAGAAGAGTGCCCTGCCCGCCATGGCCAATCCCGAGCCCACTCCTGTTCGTCGTGTCTGGAACACCGATGGCTCAAAGAGCTACGAGTTTCTGGAGCTCACCCCTGAGCAAACCAGCTGGATCGCGGAGCAGGTGGCTGGCTGGACCAGGCCAGAGTGGAGAGACTGGTTTCTCTCCTTGTCCAGAGAAGATGCTGAATGGTGGGAGAGAGCAGCCGCTTCGCACCCCGCTTTGTTCGAGGGTGCCACGGCCGAGCAGCTGGAGCTCAGACAAGGAGGACTCGGTCTGGATTGTGTTGGAGCAAGGGAGGTGTAGGGTTTGCGGTTCAGGGTTCAGGGTTCGGGGTT